ATTTTCATTCTTAAATTGTTATTAAAGAGGATGCATCCCCACGACAAATCTTCCGAGTCTTCGGGGAGCATATGTCTTCAGAAAATAATTACACACGTGGTAAATGTAGTAAAAGAAAATTGTTATTTTAATGCTACGGATTCTATAAAGGAAAGGTTATGTTGGTTACTTAAATCAATTCATTGTTTGACGTATTGGACGGGGTGTGTTGGGTGGGGAGTAAATACGCCACTGTCAACTCTTTCTTGGGGACTTAAATGGGCTATGTTATTATTGCACATGGATTTTCCTCAACTAACAGCAGAGTTATGATGTTCTAAAAAGCCTGACAGGTAGACAAACGAACAGATCCATTTTAATGGCCCCTGCATTCTTCGAAAAGTTGGGGACAATGAAAATGCACTATGATAAAAATCCGTCAAGCGCTTTACAAGATGTTTAAAATTGCTCCTGTGTTTTACTCGTGTGGTGGTTAGTTCATATAGGGTCTAACCCATTCATTTTGAAAAACAGAATGGTTTCAAAAGTGCAAATGACGACTAAAGAATGTAGGCAGAAACTCTACAAAACATGGGTAAATAAAGCATCCACGCCATCTTAGTCTATAACACTGTCTTTCAAAACTTGTCCGTCTTCATTAGCCCAGTCGGTGCAGATCATTAGGACGTTAAACCCCATTTCATTTCAAAACGTGTGTAAATCTCGGCAAACGGACTCCACCGAGGTGTGCCGATTGTAAACAATGGATGAGGTAGGCCTAATACCTTGACGTATGTGTTAAACTACTCAATTCAAAGTGTAGCTTTTTGTCACCAGTTGTCCCCACGAGTAGCGCACTTTCAAAATGCGCCCCTAACTTGTTTTTATACCATTGCACATTTGTAGTGTAGGCTAAACCGATTAATGTATCTTTAAAATTCGTTCAATATATAACAAAGGACTTTATTCTTTTCTATAAAGTATACATTACTTAGAGAAAACGTTTGATAACCATGGCATTGTACAGACCAAGTGTAGTGTGAAGTTCCAGTCTAATTCATATTTTCCAAACAACATACCCCACATGATACTTGTTTGTATAAAGACGGGTATCGCTCCACATATTTTAAGCCTGTTTTCATTCTTTGTGTATTGTACAAAAAAACAATTTAAATTCTTTCTAATATTAAAAAATGAGGGGGTGTCGCAACATTACAATAACTACATTGTTAAAGGCATTAACGTATTATCCGCAACGGAAGTGACGTTATCCCGTCTGATATCTCGTTAACCCTGAACGTGGTATTTTGAGACTAAATAGGCAATTTCTGGGTGTTTTCTGGGCAATTGCAGCATTACCAACGCATCTTTTTAGAAATTTCAAAAATCTATTGTAAAGACAACTTTACGCTGTAGAAAGGTTGATAATTTGTTCAGAATAGAAGTATCATTCAACGGAGAGAGAGAGAGAAATGGGGTTTAACATCCACTCGACACAAACTAGGTCATTTCGGGACTAACATATGGTTTAATTTTATTTCAATAATTCGCTTGCGCATAGGGGTCTTTAGCAGTAGGAGGAAACCGGAGGACCCGGAGAAAACCCACGAGGTTGGACAGGCGACCCTACTCCTTGTCACGTACAACCGGGGATTCGAAACCACGCCAGTCGACTCAATGACAGACTTTATGATATAGCGCGCGCACGCTAACCATTCAGCCATCCAACCCCCCATCATTCAACGGCCAGATGAATACAGATATTGATGTTTTTGACACATGTATACTAGCAAATGCTTACCTTGAGCTAGTATAATAACTTGTTAACACCCTTCTATAAAAGCAGGTAGTGCCAACTGCCACTGGCGATAAGCTCCCGCAAGGCAGCCCATACCCAATGGGATGAATGACATGCTTCAGTCGGGTTAATCAAGACGGGAATACGCATAATGCAGTGGTTCAGTGTGCTTTGAGGGAAATTCTACACGGACAGTAAATGAATCCTAACTACTGCCAAGAGGTCTTAAACGTGCACGCCAAGGTGAACACAGGACCTCGTTTGTTTCGTCATGTCCCAAAGACTAGAAGCTGTACTTTGCCAGGCCTTCCACCCTGCAACACGCCGAAATATCCCGTGGAAGTTGTTCGGCCAACACTGGGATCGAACCCGGTACCTCCAGGTTACCGAGCCAACAACTTTGACCTATCCACCGAACCACGCCGCGGCTCCCCATACCCAATGGAGAAGAAGTTGGAGAAGTTTGTGTTATTGCATGAATTGAATTGATAAGTTCAAAATATACAAGCAAATTCTGGAGTCAATATTGCCGCATGCGTACTCACTTTAAGTGTGGAACCTATCGATCCATGTTAAACCACTAATATAAGAATTTAATCCAAGCTCTTTTCGAAAAAGTATTTCGTATGTTGTTCTAATGGCCGAATGGTTAGCACGTGCGCGCTGTATCGTAAGGCCTGTCATTGAGTCAACTGGCGTGGTTTCGAATCCCCGGTTGTACGTGACAAGGAGTAGGGTTGCCTGTCCAACCTCGTGGGTTTTCTCCGGGTCCTCCGGTTTCCTCCCACTGCTAAAGACCCCTACGCGCAAGCGAATTATTGAAATAAAATTAAACTATATGTTAGTCCCGAAATGACCTAGTTTGTGTCGAGTGGACGTTAAGTCCCATTTCTTGGGTCAAAGATTCGAGGTCCAATGTACAAATTATGCAGTCATAGTAATATAATCACATTCCTCGGAAATACTGCCTTCCGTGTATCGTACAAGTATCAAGATGAACCACGTATGAGTTAAAGATGCATTATGTAAGATTTAGATAAAGAGCTGACAATTCTCGCTATAATAGTTTCAAAATCGATACTGAAAGGTTATTATATTGGAAATTTCAATCAAATTACTTTTTTTCTGAGAGAAGTTACGCGTGTTTGAAATTTTTAAAGGATTTATTCACCGAGGGGCGAAATTATTAATTTGAAAGGGTACTATGCAGCAGTGAATCAAATGGGGTTTAACTTCTTACTTTTCTGCACTAACCAGACTAATGAAGAAGGACTAGTGAGGATTTTTTTTTAGCCCAAACAGCTACATGTCGGCGTATTCTTCTTCGATTTCCAAATGTTAAAGGTTCTATTACGCATATATGCCAATGTCTACACAGGACCCCGACCTTTGGGTTTACGTCTCGTTCGAACGACTAGACGATTTTCCTTGTCAGACCATGCAGTGTGGTATGTCCAAACAGTTGTGTTTCCGCCTACTCTTCATCGAATTCCAAATGGTTCTTCTCCCTGTACTACGCATGGGAACTCACTTTATTTATTAAGAATTTTGCAAGAACGTAAAAAGTACTGACTTTGTGACAACTTATGAAAGTAATAATACTTACAAAAGTTTACATGAATGGACCTATATCTTTGATATAGTGTTGTGGGGAATAGACATAAATTAGCAAAGATATGGGTATGTGGTCCGCGCTTAGTCAAGTTTGGCCACCGATCGGCGACTTTGTCAAGATCGATCGTATCCGCCAGGTCACGCCCCCCCCCCCCCCACCACAAGAAGAGTCAATGGTTTATTGAGGCGTTTCTGTTTCATTGCTGAACGCTAACAGTTTTTACTAATTTGAGCTTTGAAAACTGGCGCGTATTGTGATATCCATGCAATCAAAGTAACCATCATACATTAAGTATTGGGGATTTTTCCCATATATTTTGGCATTGTTTGTTTACCTCATTAATTCATTGAGAACGACTGCAGTGACTGCACTATTTAGAGACTATGCCACGGACAAGGGGGAACCCAGGCTGGAATAACCCGAGGCATCTTTTCGACCACCCCGACAGTGAAGATTGAACTCAAAACCTAGTTAGTGAGCCAGAGCCAAGTATACACACTGTGCCACCTTGGCATGACCGGGATATTAAAAATTATTAAAAATATATACCAATATTGAATGGACCAGTACAAATCTTTACCTTAACAATAAAATTCATTACTAGTTTTGATATGTTCTCTTTTTTGTTGTTGCAGTTGGGGTTTGTTTGTTGGGGTTTTTTTTATTTGTGGGGGGGGGGGGGCAATAAGTTAACAATCAATACATACAATATATTGAAGATGACCCTACAGTATAATATCGAATAAACATACAGCCGGAAATTGTCGGAATTTATCGAGGAATGCCGATTGATATTCAGTTAGTCTATGCATTTTATATTAACGATAAGAAAAATACCAAAAACCTGTATCATAGTTCGGTGATTCACAATATGAATAATAGGCCTAATAATATTATTATCATCAGCCATGCCCTCGTGTAATTATGTCGTTAATATTATGTAATCAAGTTTTTTTATTACCCAATTTTGGTTGCCATGTTGTAATTAATTTAATCAACCAAAATAATATCGGGAGAATCGAATGTCAAAATATATAATTAACTGTTAGATCCACCCAATTCCTCACCCATTTACTATTACAGAACGTAACGAGCAGTGCAGGATTTTCTTTTAATCTATTGAAAAAAAAAAAAATTACAAAAATTTCCCCATCGGATCCCCTCACAAAGAAAAAAAAAAATAATAAAAAAAAAAATAGCCTTTTTCTTTTTTTTTTTCTTTTGACAATATAAAGCCTGAGAGAATGGCTAATTTCATTTATATTATATTCTTGGTCAGAAAATATTCAAAACCATCTATTTGAACTCCCCAAATGAGAAGTGGTATCAAGTGTAAACAATATTGAAATTGAGAGCTATAAAAAGTAAATAAAAGAAATCATGCTGCTTTGATATCCTGTTTTTTTTCAATAACAATTGATATCTGTTGAGTATGGACTATTTTTAGAACCCGGGATCATTCAATGGTTAACATTTTTCTAATGCATAAGTTTGGAGAAAGTATATTTCCACGAAATAGAACTCATAAAATCAACACAAAATTTAGTTATCCCTAAATAAGAATTTCTCCCTAAATAACTACAGCGCTTGTCTCCCTTTTCGACACTACCTAATTTGGGTGGGCGGAGAGCAAAGAAGGAAACTGTACTGGTAGGTTTTGGTTTTCGACTCTTAAAATGTTCGATACACTACTTTTAGTTTAGCTTTTAGGTCAAATCGATGCTGGATATCTATTCTTAAATGTAAGTTTTTCATATTTTAGTCCTAAACTCGCTAGAATAAGGCAGCAGTCGCATAACTCTGTGCAAATTCTCCGTATGTTTGCTTACGATCCCTCACTGAGTGACCTTTTCGATTCGGTACACAATTTAGGGCGAGCGCTCGAACCCTTCGTTTCGACTTATGTTCAGTTTTTATTGTTATTTCTTTTTGTATATGCCTTTTAGATGAACCTATTTTACTAGCCAAAGGGTTCATTTGTGAAGTACTTATTGCATTTAATCATTAAAAACCCAAAAGGGATTTAAGGGTACTTAGTTAATTTATTCTCCACGTAGCAGCCGAAAGATGGCGCTAGTATCGATGGCCCCTAGGGGTGAAAGAACCCGAGTAAAGTTTATTTTTGACAAAATACCCTCGATATATAGATAAATTAATGGTTTGGTTAAATATATGATGTTTCGGTACCTTAATAAATAGCTTTCACATGCAGTAATAAGTATTTGAAGCCCATATTTCGAGGAAGAATTTCACGTTAAGGAAGTCTCGCCTCGCGAGCAGACGAATTAGTTGCTCGTGCTAGCAGGTACTTGTAACGGGATTTCACAGGGAGCGGTTATTGTTGTTTAGATTATAATATAACATTTTCAGTAAATTTATAAATAATAAATAAAATCATATAATAATATTACTAATCAATCTAATATTTATAAACAAATTCAGATTTATTTATTTATAACCAGAAAAATATTTTGTGTAACTAGATCTATTTAATATTTGGGCCTATTTGTCAAAAATATATTTGCCCAATGAGACAAATAAATCAAATGTTATTTATTAATTCCATACCTCACAATGCATTCAGTAAAATTAAATTTCTGAAATACTAAAACAAATGTACTGATCATACCAAGGCAAAATAATAATTACTCTTGTCTTTAGACAAAAACAATACTGATAGTGATAGATTGATTGATATGTTTAAGAATTTATATTTTTAATTATCGTTCCAGTTGTGTTGCAAGTTTTGTTTAAAAATCTTATTCATTTGAGAATTTTATTAAATAATTTTGTGCTCAAAATGAAAAAAAAAATACTTGTTTTGCAAACTGTCATATAATATAGGCATTGAAATAAAGATTTTAGTTATACTTGACAAAATGTCAGGTACTGGTACATTGAATTTGTAATTAAACTTTTTCAGCTTTGTACCTGCAACTAAAAGTATAGTTTTGATCAGATAGATATATTAACTGATAATGAATTTGGGTATAATTTACATGACTATAATGTCTAATAGCTGAAACTTAAAGTTTAAGTTGAATTTAGTGCACAATATGATGTTGCTACTAGTGACTTAAACTAAACAGTTAATTAAAATGGTAAATAAAGACAACAGATAAATACTGTACTATAAGTGTGTAGAAGAAGGCTTGGAGCCTAGTAAATACTGTACTGTTAAAATGAAATAAAATGAAGTGGGGTTTAATGTCCTTCTGTTCTGCTCCAACTAGGCCTAATGAAGACTGGTATATACACCATACAGTGTGTTATAAGGGAAATTTTGCTCGGGCAGCGGCTCTATGGCCTACTCTTATATCGAATTCCAACTGCCAAGGGATCTTTTATGTGCATGCCAATGTGTACACGGGACCTCGGTTTTTCATCCCATCCAAACGACAAGACAGCTGTCCTTGTCAGGCCATTTGTCCTGCACCACTGACATGGGGAAACCACATCGAAAAATCCTGTTGAACTTTCTCGGCCAGTGCAGGGATCATACACACGACCTCCAGGCTAGTGGGACTATTAAGACAACTATACAATATTACTTCTGTTGATAAAAGATAAAGATTTTAAAAACAATGAATACATTTAAAATATTGTAGGAGATTAGTGTCTGAATATGACTATAGCTGTAACTGTACATTTTATTTTAAATTACAAATTATAATATTTTGTTCTAAGAATTACTTATATGGATAAATACTATAATGAAAATATGTCTGCCCATGCTCCTGAAGCAACGGCCGCAAGTTTTACAACATCTAGACGTTGTTACATTGCTTTGCAGTTGGAGTTTGTGACACAACACATTCAAATCAAACAGAAGGCTTGACATTGAACGAACCTTGAACTTTGCAACTTGATTATAAGAGGTAAACATTTTATCTGGAAAGCGCAGGACTTGGTATTCGTGATGATCGAGGAATCTGATAGGCTCTCACTCTCAGACTGGGTCAGTACCCAATCTAAGTTAGTACTGAGTATTACGTGAAGAGCTTGATAAGATGTACAGAGTTAAAGCGAGATGAAGACTTCTATTGAAGATGATGTCTGCCAAGCATTATATTAAAATGCTCATTTATTATACCTATTATGATAAAATCACATCATCTAAAATGATTATTTTAGTTTTCCCCAATAACTTTCTCTGACACATTGTGCACCTTTAAATTGTGTAATATTTTGGGCTCATTTTGTTGAAATCACATGACCTAAATTCATTGTTTTTGGTTTTCCCCAATAATTTTCCCCTATGACTGAGTTCCCTGTTGAAACCTTTCCTTATTAGAGAGAAAAGGCATTTCTATTGCAAACAGCACTGTTTTTTAAATAGTTTGTAGAATAATCGCTGAAGTCTGAGGTTCAGGAAGCATCATAGAGAGAAGTATTTTAAATTTTGGACATTTAACGTTGGGTTGGATTAGGTTTTAAAAGGTAAGATTATGTAAGTAAAATACTGAACTAAATGGGTTTTTTTATATTTTTTTCACAATAGGAATTATAGATTTTTGTACTGATAGTATTTAATATAATAATAATATTTAGTTTCTATTTCTTTTAAATTCTTTTTAATTCTGTAGTATCACCAGCAGTACTTACTATACTCAAACATGCAAAAAATCATGATCTCTTATTACATGTACTGAAATTTGATGATTTTATAAGGGCAGTAAATTTACAAGTAAATACGAAAAAATATGTAGTTTCATGACAAAAAGGATATCATAATTAATATCATCATATAGTGTTATGTAATGTATGAGAAATTTTGGGATTTCCCAGTCTCTTGGGTTTTTTTTTTTTGTTTACACAGCATTCTGTACAGTATTACATCATGTTTTGGTAGTATACGCATTGCAATGCAAAATTTTCTTTTTTTTAATGTAGATTATTTTTACATAATTAGTGATTGTGTTTTTGTGTTAGGCTACATAGTGATTGTGTTTTTGTGTCTTGCCTAGTGAAGGGGATTTTGGCAATTAAGAATGAAATAGTTGGAGAAAAAAAAAAAATTATTATTCATTTATAAAATTTAGACCAATGCATTCTGTCCGTCTTCTTTAGCCCGGATGGAACAGAAAAGTTGGACATTAAACCCCATTTCATTTCCTTAATGCCCGAACATTGATGAAACCTATGGGATCAAAATGTTGGTTTACGTGCAAGTGGGGGTTTGATTACCTATAGCTATTCTTGAGCCTATTAGGCCAAAATTGGTTACCCTGTTGTACATGTACAAGACAGGAGTAGAGTCACCTGTCCAACCATTTGGGTTTTCTGCGGTCCTCCGGTTTATTCCCACTGCTAAAGTCCCTATTGAAATAGAATTGAACCATATGTTAGTCCTAAAATGACCTAGTTTGTGTCAAGTGGACATTAAACCCCATTTGGCATTTCTCTCTCTCTGTCTATTAGGCTAAAATGAAAAAAACCTGTGTTTACGGTTACCCTACAAACTCTATTTTTTTTCGTACTCAAAATCTTCGACCCTAATTTTGTTATCCGCATTTCCCAGGCACTTTCATTTGATCTTGGCATGGTTTTCTGTGGACAATTTACAACATATTTCAAGAGAATTTTCAAGAGCCTTACTCCGTACTTAAGCTAGAATTGCTAGGAAATAAATAATATAAACTCCCTGAAAGAAAAAAATTCCGATCAACCCTCCCTATTTTTGTTTGCCAAGAAACTGTACACATAGGCGTACTGGGAAATTTTTTATTGGGGGGGGCGGTGGTGGTTGGTGCCCCAAAAATGTAGTTAGGTTCTTAGTATGTTACATAATAATCATAATATCTCTTTTGCGATGAATAAGTTCTTAATTTCTAAATCATCAATAAAAGAGAACTAAATTTTATTTACTTGTAATATACACAACTAAAAACAGTTGTTTATGTAACTGTAATTTGTGGCTTACTGTACTCCAAACAATAGAGGGTTCGAGTCTTAAGATTTCTATTTAATTGCCTAACTATAGACACTCTGAATTTAAATTCGCTGTTAAATTGGACGCATTCAAGAACACAATATTTTTTTATACAACTTTTACAAAGTACAATTGTGTGCCCAAATTTTCCCAGCATTTGGTGCCCAAAATGGGGGGGGGGGCTGCCCCAGCCCCCCCAGCTCGTACGCCTATGACCGTACACACAAGTATTTTTTTCTTGGCCTTAGGTTACTTATACTCTATTTCAGACCGAATACATGTATTTCTCAGTAGTACAATAGTTTGATTTTTTAGAGGTATTTAGTAACTGGAAAGAGCATTAAACTATAACTAACACATACTTATGGAAGAATAGCTACTGATTTTTAGGCGACAAAGAGTATTGTCTCGACGTTTTCATGCGACATTTGGAAGAGTATTCTCTCAAAGTTTTCAGGCGACGTTTCTAAGAATATTCTCTCAATGTTCTGCTTGAAAACGTTTAGAGAATACCCTTCGAAATGTTGCCTAAATAAACCAGTAATTGTTCTTCCATAAGTATGTTTTTACAATGTATTGCATAATTAGAAATCTGAGAACATGTACAAAACAATTAAAGTAGCTATATCTCTAACTCAATATCATCCAAAGTCGTCGACATTGATAACACAAGTTATTTGTCAATTTAAATCAACATTAATGTTGTGATCTTACCTGAAAAAGATGGGCTTCTGATATCCAATATTTAAGACAAAATAAACATTTTACCATTGGTACATGAATCGTGTATAATAATGCGTTTCAGAGCCATTTGTAACAAGAACGAGGCTAGACAATATTTCACAAGTCATGTCAAACAGTGACACCCTATTCTTATCTGAAGAGCATGCGCAATAAATACTATCGGTGTAGACTGGAATAACCTGACGCTAGAGATCACCACTTCTCTATTGAGATTTCTAGCATATTTTGCCGAACAGAACTGATTTAAAATTACAGTAAAAACAGAAAAATTTAAATGTAAATCAGTTTATATACATTCATATTACATTATTATATGTGTTGCGACCAATTTGTGTCAATTTCTAGGTCCCAAATATTAGCGATTTAGCTCCTTTAAAAACAGCTTGGAGATTAGTTGTCTGTAATAAGGTTTGTTATAGTATACTCCTTGTTTGGGCATCCATTGTCTATTCAATACAGTTTAATAGTCATTTGGATGGAATGGAAAACCAAAGTCCTGTGTATATTGTCATGCATGTAAAAGAGTTGGAGTTCGATATCAGTAGGACATAGTGCTGGTGTCCAGGCAAATTTTCCTCATTGCCCACTGTATGACATACCAGTCTACATTAGCCCAGTCGGAGCAGAACAATAGGGCAATAAATCCCATTTCATTTCCCTTCGGATGGCCTATAATTTTTTGTTATTGTTTTGATGTTAAAATTTAATTCGAGTCTTCCCCCAAAAGTAGAATGTAAGTAGAAGTGAGTTGTTCAATTACAAACCAGACTGAATATACAACCCATTGTGTACAGATGATATCTCTCACAGATAAAATATTTCTCAGTATTGCATAATCTCTCACAGATAAAATATTTCTCAGTATTGCATAATTATTAAAAATTGGAAACACGCACAACTGAATAAAAATAGAATATGAATGATCATTTCCACATATAATTAACATATTCATTATTCTGACCAGCTAGTTTTAGCTAGGAAGTTCCTCATAAACAATTGAGTTAATTTCCTTATTTTTTGCTATAAATAGCTTGTCAAATACAGTACTGCTTATTTTCAATGATAACACCCTGGTGGAAGCAGGGGCAGATCCAGAGGGGGGGGGGGGCGTTAGGGGGTCAACCCTGCTCAGCTACATAAAAAAAATTGTAACGGTCATGTGCTTTATCCTTTATCATCAGATGGTTGGATTGGGTGGGTATTCATAGACATGTGTGATATCACAATTAATGCTTTGCATCAATGAAATTGAATCACAATGTGATCCTATTAATTCATTATAAAAATTGATATCAAACAGGGTGTTGGATGTTTTTCATTAACAAGCTCTGTGTGTATGTATGCTTACGGAATTTGGAGACGATGCCTTGTCAATTGTCGTATTACCTTAACAGGGACCTGGCACCCCCCCCCCCCCCTGTCAAAACTTCCTGGATCTGCCCCTGGGAAGCAGATGTTACGTACATGTAAATCTTTTCACACAGTCCTGCTTTATGCATAATAGAAATTAAAAATGTCTACTTATGCATATCTTTAAATCTACTTCCACCATTCTTTTTTACATCTTATCTCATCTATTCTTTGTTGTGTGCAATTCTTTTAAAATGTTATTTTTTGGCCATGTGCAAAACGAGCTGGATGACCAGAATTTGATGAAGCTTGCTGAAAACCGTCAGATTGTTCTAGACAGAGATTCAACAAACTTCTTAAGTCACAATTACGGCTGTGTTGAGTCTATATTTGGTCAATCTGATTAAAACACAGATCCTATTTCGTTTTATTTTTTATAGTTTAAAATTTCATTTTACTTGTCTACACTAGGTTCTGGAAGAGTTGTCATATTACTGGTGTTCTAGTTGAAGTGAGGGATTAGCCAATGAAACAGTCTGTTACGGAGAGCTCTTGGTGTGCGATTCACGGAACTGTGGGTAAACCACTCGAAACATCAATGTTGATTGATTAATCAATGTCTGATGCCATAGGGTCAAAAGCCGCTTGTATGACCCCTGACACGACCGTCCAGTACAACCGGTCAGATCTTATGTAGTGTAGGCCATCGAAAGTATAAAAATTGGAGCAGTACAGTGTGAAGTTAAACCCCATTCCATTTCATAATGTCCACCCACACCAATGTGCACACGAGTGGACAAGGCCTACTTTCCTTATCAGCCAAACTAGCACCATCCCAGAATCGGGCTTAAGATATCCCACAGGTTTTACCCAGCCCATGCAGGGATTTGAACGGTTTAGTTGAGAGGTCTGTTGTCAACTATTCAGCCACGGCTGGCCCGATCTGATTTGTGACATCCATTTAATCTTATTCATTTTATTTATTTTCAGACAGTCATGAAGAACAAGAAACAATGAAGCCATGGATGTCATGACATAAGAAACAACGTTAGAGTGATTTATCACCAAATGTGCCAAGAAACTTATTATTTATCTATTTATTTATTCGAATTATTTATTTATTAACAAACTAACAGATGTTTTAAAAAAAAAAGCAAAACAGAAGAAAACATGGATTCCGAGGCAAAGAATTCAGAGCCAACAGTTTTAAAGGATTCGGAGTTGCCGAGTTTGAAAGCAAACATGAATTCATCAGAGCCTTCAAAAAGAAAATCAAAAACTCCTATCAAATTGACAGCAAGTTGCTTCAATCTGTGTCGATTTTGTGGACGGCAGTTTGACAATATGGAGGAGATGCAGGTCCATTGTCAGACACATTTCAGCGAGAAACCTCCCCATGTGTGTTATGTGTGTGGAAAAATGTACAGCACCCCATCCAAGCTCCAACGACATGTCAGAGTGCACTCAGGAGAACGCCCTTATGCCTGCTCCATCTGTGGCAAACGGTTCACCCGTTCTGATCACGTTAAACAACATCTTAAAGTGCACATGCCCCAGCGACAGAAGAACGTCTGCCGGATGTGTGGAATGAAGTTTATGCGACGACAAACGCTACAGGTAAGAGAAACCTAGAAGCTTATCTTACAATATTTATCGCCGCGCTGTTGTTGGAAAAAAATAAATATCTGACTCACACTGCTCCCTCACTTTCCCATCTAACCATTTTTGTTTGTAAATCACTGTTTGCAATGCTGGTTAAATTATCATTTAATAACACAGCATTATTATTAATTTGTAATCTTAGAAATAAGAGTATTTCTTGTGAAAAAGAGAGAGAGAAATGGGGGTTTAACAGCCACTCAACACAAACTAGGTCATTTTGTGATACTAACATGGGGTTTAATTTTATTTCAATAATTCATAAGCTGTGGGAGGAAACAGGAGGACCCGGGAACACCCACAAGATTATACAGGTAACCTTACTTGTTGTCGCGTACAAGCGGAGAATTGGAACCATGCCAATTAATGACTCAATGACAGACCTTATGATCTAACAGTGTCTAACACCCGGTCACCCAATCCCCCAGGTTGTGAAAAAGAAATGTTTATCGTGTTATTCAACTAGTCTGATATTTTTATCAGCAATCATACTTGTTTTTAGCAATAACTGATCATGAAAATTTTTAGGTTCCTGACCAACACTGTTTTCTGTCTCATCTGCAAAGATTAGGGTTACAAGGGAGACAACTCTCTTTTTCAATTTGTGTATTTTAATTTGGTTTTCCCAAATACAGAGAAATGTGCCTTATTTTTTTTTAGGTTCACTTGAAGAGCCATGGTCTATCTCAGATTTATACATGCAATAGATGTGGTGAGGCCTTTGACTGCGGAACTAAACTATTAACCCATAAAGGTACCCATGAGGATATGATAGTCACAAACCAAAATGGAGAAAAAATTGCTGTTAAGTTTGATCCTGAGGCGACAAAAACTGACTGTGAGCCTGTTAACGGGATAGCAAAGTTTGGTTTAGGACCGCAGCCAGATGTCAAAGAGTCCTTGGATGGTTTTGTAAGAAAAGAAAGCAACAACCCTGCAGTTATTAATCTTTTGAATATTAAAAAGGAACATGGTGATATGGATTATTCAAATATTCTCATAAATAATGATAATGATGTCGTTATAGAAGGAAATAACGACATGGACAATTCAGGTAGGTTTTTTATTGGTTGGTTTTATTTGATTGATATCTGGTCTGAGGTAAAAAAAGCATAGTTGATTCTTTTCTCTCGTGGCAAGGTACTTTTGATAATGCTACATGTACTTGTAAAATAGCTTTATGTAACGTCCGCTTCCACTGAAGTTCTGTTTATAATATTTCGCAACATGTACAGACAAATTATCTGACAGCAGACATTTTGATGATTTCGTCCAATCACAGTTTAGTTTTCATCAATACTTCGCTACAACATGTACTCTGCACTACCAAATGACTGATCACAACTTTGTTTTCATCAGTGGTTTGATTTATATAATTGGGGGTCACGGTGGCTAAGTGGAAAAGACGCTGGCATGCTCTAGCCTGGAGGTCGGGTGTTCGATCCCTGCATTGGCTGAGAAAGTTCATTCAGATTTTCCGACATGATTCTCCCTTGTCAGTGATATGCAGGACGGAGGGTCTGACAAGGACAGCTGTCTAGTCATTTGGATGGGACGAAAAACCAATGTGTCCCGTGTACACATTGGCTTGCACGTAAAACATTCCTTGACTGTTGTAATTCGATGTACGAGTAGGCTGTAGTGCTGCTGTCCAGGCAAAATTTCCCTCATAGCACACTGTATGGAGTATGCCCGTCTTCATTAGCCCAGTTTTGAGCAGAACAGTAGGACGTTAAACCCCATTTCATTTCATTTTATTTATATAATTAGTTTCTAAAGCTGGATCATGCGCAGAAAAACTGGCAATTTTATTGACAAATTGATATCATCAGTATTATTGTCAAACAAGTTTTCATTAAGAAGTAATATTTATTCTGAACATTGATTCCCAGAAGATGAGAATTGATTCTTCAAAAATTCATTGTCAGTTCTGGCATTTGGTTGTTCTTGATTTGAATTCTATCAGTCCATACATATGTATAACATAACAAATGTAATTGACTTTCTAATATCAACTGAAGATCCTTTAATGTGGTTGTATATTGTTGTTACTCCTGTTTATTCGTTATCCTCTAGAGGTTAAAGTTATCAGCAAATAAATTTATATAGTGATTTTGTTCATAAGATTAAGAAGCCTATTGATTTTTTAACAATTTTTGCTTAGTTATTCTCCTTGGTCAATTTAAAAAGAATTTATATGCAGTGTTTATGTTCATGAGCTAAAGAGATTATCTGAGTACATGTACATGTTTTATTATACGCCCACATTTTCATGTGGACATATATTGTCGTCGCTCCTGTCCGTCCGTCCGTCCACAATTGTTTGTGAACAGTCTACAGGTCACAATTTTTATCCGATTTCAATGAAACTTGAAATATAGGTTTATCACCCTAAGATCTCGGTTCCTTTCGATATTGGCATCTATCGGTCAGTAACTTCATGGATTATGGCCCCTGATTGTACGAAAAATCACGTTTTTGGCTTGTGAACACTGTAGAGGTCACAATTTTTATCCGATTTTGTTGAAACTTGCATTGCAGGTTTATAACCCAAAGATCTCGGTTCCTTTCGATATTCGCGCCTATCGGACCGTAACTTCCTGAATTATGGCCCCTTATTGTACGTAAAAACACGTTTTTTGGCTTGTGGACCCTATAGATGTCATAATTTTTATCCGATTTAAAAATACGTATTATTATATCACCGTTAAACCCTAAGGATGGTCAAGTTCCAATTTCGTGAAAATCGGCCCAAAACTGACAGACAAAATGGCCGCCGTTCGTTCTCAAATAGCGTAAAAATATGGTATATCAAGGTTGTGGACCCTATAGAGGTCACAATTTTTATCCGATTTTGTTGAAACTTGAAATGTAAGTTTATAACCCAAAGATCTCGGTTCATTTCGATATTCACGCATATCGGACCGTAACTTCCTGAATTATAGCCCCTGATTGTACGAAAAATCACATTTTAGCTTGTGGACCCTATAGAGGTCATAATTTTTATCCGATTTAAAAAAACGTATTATTATGTCACCGTTACACCCTAAGGATGACTGAGTTTGAATTTCGTGAAAATTGGCCCAAAACTGACAGACAAAATGGCCGCCCCTTGTTCTCAAATAGCGTAAAAATATGGTATATCAAGGTTGTGGACCCTATAGAGGTCACAATTTTTATCCGATTTTGTTGAAACTTGAAATGTAAGTTTATAACTCAAAGATCTTGGTTCCTTTCGATATTTGCGCATATCCAATTGTGATTTCCTGAATTATGGCCCTTGATTGTAGGAAAAATCACTTTCGTTTAGCTTGTTTTCTATCCATCTCTCGAAAATGTGGGCGTATACATGTACTGCCTGGCAGCCGCTGGTATTATAAACGTTAGCACTAATAATAGGAAGACCTGGATGTCAATCAAATTATAATTAATTCTGATAATTAAGCTTACTTCATGGGTTGTTGCTTTTGTAAATGCTCCCGTTACCTACAACCAAGCTGCTTTGGACATATGTTTCATTGCCTAGCAAGCTTATTTTTTTTTTTTTTTTTTCACAGGCATGTCAATTTCTAGTTATTATTCATTGGCTGGGGCCAGTAGCAATAATTATATGGATGAAGGCAACTCGGAAAGCATGGCAGATGGAGGAGACCGGGACAAGATGATCGTCATTCAGTCCAACGAAGATGATGATGATAGGAGGGAAGATAACTCTAATAGTCCTGATTTTAATGGAGACCTAGTCAATGGAAAAGACGACGGAGAAGGCATGCCAGAGACCGACGACCGCCATATTTTCCAATCAGTTATACCTAAAGTTGAACACAAGAGATTAGCCCCACGCCTTTATCAGCCCAGTCACCGAAAATCATCCTTGACGTCTGCATCAAACAGCTCTGTTAATAATATTACAAGTAATTTAGGATCCGCAACACCAGTCTTGGGTCAAACTGCAGGATTTTTTTATGGCAAGCGCATGACGCGATGTAACCATTGCTGCATTTGGTTTGAGGACAGTTCTATGAGCATGCTTCATATGAGTTTACACTCGGCAGATGAAACCGACCCTTTTAAGTGTAAAAAATGTTTAAAGCGACTGGGAAATCGTCTGGAATTTATGGCCCACATTGTGTGGCACCTAGATTCATCGTTAGGCGAGTCGAATTACATAAATATTTAATTTAGAAATCTGTTTCTCAAAAACTAAAAATAGAATTATATTCCGGGGATACTGAACAATTATTTTTTTTTTTGAGGTAGTCAATAAAAACAGAGGTTCCTAATTCCAATGTCAGTCTTTTTAAATTAAAAAGAACGCCATTTTCTGGGGACAAAATTTCTAGTCAGATTTTTCTCTTTTTTTAAAAAAAATAAGATTTGTTGTCATAAAGAATGGATATTAAGTTATTGATAAATATAGTTAAAGATATTATGTAGTTTTAGATTCAAATTTTGTTTTTATTTTTTGAGAAATCGATCATGCCGAACTATTATTATGTTATATTAAACAAACTTGCCGACTCAAATCATTCGCATTTAGAACTTGAACTGGAGATAAAGTCACAGGACTCAATTTCTTATTACCGAGCCATGTTTTGACTATTCTTCCCTAGTCTTTATCGTTGCGCAGCCTAGTCGAAATATGGCTCAGTAATAAAAAGTTAATAGAAATGCATCCTGTGTATTTGAAAATCATGTCATAGAAACATAAATGGTAATTTTTCAACAATTTTTGCCCAGAAACCAAGATATGTGTCTGATGTAGTATGTACATTACTTGGGAGATCAGCTGGGCACGATTTTTCTAGGAACTAGGCCCAGGACCTGACGCTTTCCGAGTTACTACATTGAACCATGGGTAATTATTATAAAGTGCAGGACAGGATGCCATTTTCCATTCATCTTATAAAAGACTGTTTAGTCGTTTGTACAAATTTCTCAAATACCAGTATTTTCCATTATTTTTTCGTAGGGCGTGGTTTCATCTCTTATACCTTTTAGTCATTTTATAAATATACTCATTTCAAGGTTTGGGATTCACATGTTAAATATTAAATCAATCTTCATATTACCAAGAGGTTGATAATGCTTAATTTTGCTTGATAAATGGTGGATCATTCAAAATAAATTCTGGTTGCAGAGATGTAATTTAGGTTGAGGACATGTTAGCCAAACTGTATTTTATATTTAAAAAAGGCCTATGGGCTAGATATTATGACATAAGAAAAGTCTATCTGTATATAGAATTATTATTATTATTATTATTTATTAGATATTGCATGCTATAAGCTAGTTTTTATTTTTAGTGATTGTATGCATGTCTCCCTATTTATTGTTTAAACTACATGACCATATTTTTTTTAAATCTATTTTTTGAACAGCATATTAATCTTATTTTCAATACAAATTTTGTGGAATTCCTGCAGAATAGACAATGTTTCTCTAAATGGTAGTTATGTATTTTAATAATCTAATTAACATACATTAGAGTACAACCCATTTGTAGTTTTATTAACGCATTGTGACTTGGACCGAAGGTCATTTGAAACCGACAAGGATAAATGTAAAACCAGGGCCCTTATTCACGAAAATTTAAACTAAGATACAATCGAAATTTTAAGAAATACTGCAATTTGATTGGCTGACCAGTAAAATCAATTTGCATATATCCAATGAAGTTGCAGTATTTATTAAAATTTCGATTATATCTTAGTTTAAGTTTTCGTGAATACGGCCCCTGTTACAGAGTAGACGAACTACATCTAGTGATAAAATCAGAATTCTCACAATATTTATTAAAATTAAGATTTATATATTATTTTGTTTGGAAAACTCCAGCATTGTGGAAATGTTTCTAAACTAAAGAGAAGAATGATTTGTATTTTTCTGCGACTACACTGGGGTTTTGTGATATGAGAGAATTGTTTTCTGGTGTTGTTTTCTTTCTTTTGTTAAAAAGAAAAATTTGTTTGTTGAATACTTGAATGTTTTGTGCTAATTTGTTTACATTTATTATACTTATTTATTTTTGGGGTTTATATGAAGTTGAAATTTATTTTAAAATGTGGTTGGATGATGGTCTCGAAAACTAAGTGCTGGTTTATGTCGTCTGTTCTTTGATTTGATTTTTTTTTTTAAAAAAAACACAAGAAAAGGATTATACCTTGACCAAAAAGAAAATGAATAGGATAAAACTTGATAGAGCAGAAAATGAATAGCATAAAAACTGAAAAGATAACAACTTAAGTAAAAAAGAAAAACAACAAAAATTTGAAATAAAGCACTGAAAGAAATATTTTAAGTTACCTAAATGTAGTTAAGAATAAAACGTGGCTTATGAACTATGTTTTTTTATTAATGTTTTGTACGTCATCTCAAAAATAATTGAGTTTAATATAAAGAGCTCTTCCGAAAACTTGTAAACATCCTTTCGAACGTCTTTATTTGTAAAGCGTGAATAAGATGTTATAAAAACGTTTCTTCGTGAACTCCATACTCACGATGTGATATTGGGTATTCAACAAAAGATAACATACTCTATCATCACTCGGCAAACCTCAGCAAATTCTGGTACCCTTCATCTAGCCTCGGCTGTATGATGGTAAGTGATATGTACCTACGCCTATACAATTGCGATGCGGCACCAGTTTACTTATTAAGTAAATGTGCTGCTTTTAGAAAGAAGTTCTAACAATTGTGCCATTAGAAGAGTGTGTAGAATTTTCGGATAAACTTGAAAGAAAAACAGCTTCAGACTTTGAATTTGAATTCTTTGTTTGATAAAGTATTCTTCAAAGTAGTCATCATGGGCAACCCCGTTGGTAATCCTGGAACTTGAAAGTAGTTCAAATGGCGGACCTCGTCATATAGCTGAAGCTAGATGTAGGGTACTGGAGTCTGCTGAGGTTTGCCGAATGACTCTATCATGTGCATGCTATATCCATCACTACTTCTGGCTTTCTGGTTTCTCCAGTATCTTGCATTGTAATTGTTTTGAAGATGAGCTCTTTGTAATTGTTTTAGTTGTTTTGTAAGAGTGATAGTAAACTGAAATATACTCATGATTGTTGGTACATACATATAATATATATAATTTGTTGAGTGCTGATATATACATAGATATAATAATATATGTTTGTTATACTGCATGTGATTCTGCATGTGCATGCGTTTTAGAGGTTTTAGGTGATATTTAAAGATGTATAGCCCCCACACAAAAAAATTTTTTTTTTAAGAGTTTCTAAATGCAAATAAAAATTACTTTGAAAATACGTGTTAAATAATGTACATTTGTTTTGAAAATGTAAAAGATTAAGAAAGATTAAGCCACTGTTCAGTGTAATTATCAATACAAACATTTGTATTGTAAGCTATGTGAAGTCCTCAGATGAGAAGTGGTTCTGGTGGTCCAAAAGTATAAATGTACTCTGCCATATACATGGTACCCACTACACATGACATTTTCTTTTGGTCAGTTAATAAATTACAATTCATCTTTATTTATTTGCCTTAAATTATTATATCTTTTTTTTATTTAATTATGTTAGAGAGTTAATTAGAGTTGGTTATTGATACAAGAGGTATATTAATTATATGCATGTTAGTTTTTCATCATTTTATAAACTCATATCTAGTCATATTTTTGTGAGTAATTTTGTTTATTGTTGTTGCTTATTTCTTCACGAAGTAACTTATTTCATTTTGATATATTTTATCTTTAAAAATCTTGGTTTGAAGATTTTGTCAACTATAAAACTTCTGTTTTTTTTCTGTTACATTATTTTAAAAAAAAACCCCAAACTCTCTTATGTTTAACACCCGAAAACACAAATTCTGTTATGAAAATTTAAAGAGCTGAATAAGATATAGTTTACCCTCTAATGTCAATATGTTGCTCATTAGTTACAATATAGAAGACTTAAGGAATAAAATTGAGATCAGTGGGAGGGGGGTGGGGGTATGTTTACTTTTAATATATCTTAACGAATAAGAATTTTTATAATTAAAGTAAAAATTAAGAACATCCCCTGATTGATGTTTAGTTTAATTAATTCAATATTATTAGAATGTTTATTAGAAGTTTTCTTGTTTATTAATGTATAAACTACGTACCGGGAATATAAAACCATTCTACCTGTCATGGTGGTAACAAAAGTAATGATGTTGATGTATGCTTATATTGTAATACTCCAATCCATGACAAATTTGTTTAAAAACTTTTTATGACAATGTGTGATATTAACATAATCGATAGAATAATTTCAATGAAATTTTTGATATTTTTGATTACTTTTTATTATTTTGGTTAGTCATGTTATATAGTATAAATTAAAATTTTTGAATAGTGCTTTGTATGGTAATAAAGAAAAAACAAAGGTCCATCTTTTTCGATATTCCAACAAAATATTTAAAAATGTTTATTAAAGTTGGTTCTGGTAAGAAAATAAAAATAGTTCAACCATCTCCTTTAAATGCAGCAAGTGTATGATATATTTGTATCCTAATAACTTAGGATCATATGTTCGGTTTAGATGCTTCAAGATCAGATTGAAAATAAAGGAAAATAATGGATAAATGTATTACATGTACTGACTTAAATATTTCAATTTTAAAATATCAAAATTCGTAATTATAAACAATAAAATTTATAGAAATTCAGATTGGGTTGAATTCAATTTTTTTTTAAACAGAAATGCAAGAGTTGAACATCAGGCCTGTGATCTAGTCTCTATATTTATATGATGTAGTGTATATGACAATTTATAAATTATCTGCATTATTACATTGTAAAAACTTTTAAATTATCTATGAAATAAATCATTGTAATGACTTTTAAATTTCATGTATCTACAAACTATTAATTTGTAATGACTTCTAAAAATACAAACTATTACATTGTAATCTATAATAAAACACTGTAATGAATTTTAAATTATCTATTATAATACATTGTAATGACTTCTAAATTATCTACAATAATACAATGTTATGACTTGTTTTATCTACAATAAAACACTTTAATGATTATCAACAATTATGCATTGTAATGGCTTTTAAATTGACTATAAACACACATTGTAATGATGTCTAAATTATCTATAAAATTACAATGTAATTACTTTTAAACTATTTACAATAATACATTGTAATTATCTCTAAAAACTTTTATGTTATCTACAATAATACATTGTAATGAATAAATTATCTATAAAATTATAATGTAATTATATACAATGTAGGAGTGTATTTCGGTGTTTTATGTATCTGATAGCAGATATGTTGACAGTTTTCATACATTTCTATTTGAAATATGTGTTTCTAGGTTAGGTTACTTCTTTAAAAAATTTGCCATTGGCTTGATTACACAATTTATGGATTGGTGCCATATTATATCATAATCAAGTCAAATGACATTTGGTTGTTGTGAGAAAGTGATATGAACCAATGAAATTCTAGGGTTTGGGTTAAGTTGGCGTGCATCTTTGTAATCTGTGTCTGTCAGCTGTGTGTAATCAACAGGCAATATGTACACTGTGAACACGCCCATAAGGTCAGTCTACGTCACATCCTGCATATATTTATGCATTTTACTTGTCAGGTTATCTGTAAAACATAACTTGAAACGCTGTCTCTTTCAGGTGCATGCTTTTACACTTTTGTTATTGCCTTTACTTTGAAAACAGATTCCTGATTATTTCAAGAAATTTATTTCTCACACATATTTCTTGCTTTTATTTTGAAAACAGGTTTCTGATGATTTCAAGAAATTTATTTCGTACACATATTTCTATAATCTTTTCTCTGCTTTCATATTCTGTATTAATGTCTATGAATTGTCTATCTTCAATGTTTTTATGATGAAATTATAAATTAATTATATATTGAATAAATTTCATGAAAAAAAAACAAACCCCAAACAATTCGGGATTTTTGGTTTGATGTGTTTAGAATGAATGCAGAATTAAAAAGGTTTGTGGGCCATAGCATTTCACTTGTGGTAGGGGTCTTTAGCAGTGGGAAGAAACCGGAGGAACCGGAGAAAACCCACAAGGTTGGACAGGCGACCCTACTCCTTGTCACGTAAACCGGGGAATCAAAACCATGCCAGTTGACTCAATGACGGACCTAATGATGCAATGCAGCGAACGCGCACGCGGTAACCATTCAGTCATCCACTCTCTCCTATCTGAGAAAAGACACGAGCTTGCATCTAATAAGATTGAGTCATATTCAGAAATGTTTGACCATATTTGCTTTACTACATTCATCGCACTGTCTAAATGAATCCATATTAATTATGATCTTCGTATTTATTTGGATTATTATACGGCTGCATTGAAATGTGGTTTTATGTTGTTGTTACCCCAGTCTGTCCTCATTCAGTCAGGCGTCCACAATTGCTTGTGGGTACTCTCGCCCCCGTAACCATCCAAGGGCAAGTGGGGGGAATCAGTGCCCCCCCCCCCCTCGAAAAAAAAGTCGTCGACCATTGTTCTAAAATACCTACTGTTTGAAATAGACAGCAGTCAGGGATCATTATGTTGAGTATTGATTTGGGGAAGTGGCACCTGGCACCCAGTCTCACCTAGGGATGGGTGTCACTTGGTGCCCATTTCTAAATTTTTTTTTTAAATTCACCACTTTAAATGATGTAATAAATGCTACTACAGGGAAAAAATTTCCTCTTTGACCCCCTGGCAGGTGGGCTCTCAACTACACAGTCCATCCCTGCCCATCAGACGAACTGAAACTTAAGCTACCGCTGGATCTATATTTAGTACTGGCTTGCCCAATGACCCACTTTCGTGAGCCCCTGTCTTGTCACTATGTTCATTGTTCAGAGTTCGCTAGAGAACGATTTGGGGGGGCTGGAAAACGCGTTTGCGGCCATCCAATTTTCAAAATTATCCGGGGGAGGACCATAAGACAAAGAAGTCTATTGATTTTCAACGATTGACAGTTAATACTACTAGTGATTTGGCCCTTGAATACTTTGAAAAACTTGTGGGTGCTCTAGAAGCTAGAGTTAATATCCGATTGACTTGAAATTTATACACAGTGTACAAGGTCCCTTAGATGGTGGAGCAATGGTGGCTAAGTGAGTATGATGCTGGCTCGCTAGCCTGGAGGTCACGGGGTCGCTCCCAGTTTTGGCCAAGAAAGTTCATTGAGATTATTCCACATGGTTTCGCCTTGTCAGTGGTGCAGGACGGAGGGCCCGTGTACACATTGGGGTGCACGTAAAAGATCCCTTGGCAGTTAGAATTCGATAGCATAATATGTGGCGTATGCCTTCATTAACCCAGTTGGAGCAAAACAGTAGAACGTTAAACCCCATTTCATTTCATTCTATTTCCTTCGAGGGTCGAGGATTCAATTTAACAAGCCGGGCCTTTAATCAGATCGGAGGCAATGATATCACCAGCAAGTGGAATAGCTTTGACGGTAGGCGTCAGATTATCCTAAGCATCATTCGACGTGGGAAATGGATTGAAATAAATTATCTGCTCTTATCTAGGCTTATGAAGAAGGACATACGCCAATAGTGTCATGCAGTGTGATATGAGGGAAGTTGGGCCTGGACAAACATTCTCTCAAAATATTTTCCAAGCTGCAAGCACATCAAACAAATGGTCTAATGGCGGGGTGCTCTTTAGATCGCAATTCTGCCATTTAGTCAAATGACGTGGTTTCGAGCCCACACTAGTATGTGGCAAGGAGTAGCATTTCCAACCTCAGGTTTTCTCGGGGTCTTCTGGTTTCCCCCCACTGCTAAATTATTGAAAGGAAATTAACCGAGATGGTTTTTTTCATTAAAAAAAAAGAAAAATGGGATATAATTAATAGCCTACTAGGGAGGGAGAAAGTGAATATAAAATATTTAAATATTCGAGTTATAATTTTACAAATCAAACTTGTTTTTAGAAACATGTAGTGACACAACGAATCAAACATTGTTCAATTATTGAAAGATTCGCCATAACAGATATAGACAACTTGCCGAATAACTGCAATTCTTGTTTGAACACGACATTTTCTTTTGAAAGTTTATGAAAGAATCGTGCAGACGTACACAATCATTTATTATTTCATTTTTCAGTAAGGCGGCATAAAGAGCACAATGCAATATTTTATGCATATATTCATGAAATTGGGTGTGAAAAAACATTAGGCGACTTACTTTAATTGTTGGTTTACGGATCCCACTTCTCCATATTGTAAACGGCTTCCAAGAAGATGCCACTGGTCAGACAAAACACAGATATTTCAAGCCACCAAAGAAATTCATGAAATGAAAGGGGGTTTGACGTCCTACTTTTCTGCTCTGTCTGGACTAGGGATTTATTCCCGGGCAGTGGCACGTACTATGGCCTACTCTTATTTCGAATTCCAACTGTCAAGGGTTCTGTTTTCGTGTACGCCAATGTGTACACATGCCCTTGGTTTTCTACCCAATATCAACGACTAGACACTATTCTTTATCAGGTCCTCTATGATGCCTGATTTTTTTTTAAAAAAAATTAGCAAACTATTAAAGTCTTTTAGTCATTTGATAAAATTTTATTCTGATTTCAAACTTATAATGCAAAAGCTAAATCTGCTTATTGCAGGTCTTTCGTTAGGCTTGCAATTTTATGTAAACTATTAATTGGACCATAATCAACTCTCGGTGCCATCTGATGATTCCGATGCTTCCGATTTTCATCAGATTTGAATCGATCTACCGTTCAACAGCCATTGATGATTAAACGCAAAAGTGGATAATGGAGACTTTTTTTCGCCACAACGGCAACGATGACAATCGATGCTACAAAGTTTTTAAAATAAGTATTTCTCGGCTTAGAGTGAAGCAATTTGACTGAAATTTTCAGAATATTCCTGTTACATTATCTATTATTTAACTTTTCTAGTGAGACCTATCAGCTCTTTATGAAATCCTCCATAATGTATCAGTAAACTGCTACATGGATGCAGCATTAACCATAGCCTAAAATTTACTATCAAAAATCGCATTTTCTGTCTATAATTCTGTTTCTATTTTGGAACTATTTCGAAAAAAGAAAGAAATTGATTGGCCTGATGAAAAGGTAATAATTGCAAAGTTACACAATCGACGGTATAGTTTTGCATAAAATTGCTCATTTGTAACTACAAACTTAGTATTTTATTATGACAACAGACAGTTATATTGTTTAATTCTATTATATCTATTAGTCAAGATTTGTCACTGCTATCAGTTTGATATTGCCGTATTCCCAGTCAATTGCACCAAATACTGCTATATCATGGGTGTTAAGGAAGATTTTATAGGGTCAAGTTTGTTCAGTAAATTTGCCATTTTTGTACTTCTGGCTGCTAACTTATTTAACTGGATAGCATTCTGTACAGCAGAATGGGGTATAGAATATAATTCTGGAGACTCATCCCGCAAAATAACGAAAGTCAGGGGCTTATGGAGACTTTGTGGAACTGGTCTATGCGCATCAGTTGATGGACCGGGATTGGGTAAGTATGTAATCTTCTGAATATAGATGAATGTTTTATGACAAGATAAAGGTAGCTAAACCTCTAACTCAACAAATTACATAATATTCCAAATTAAAAAGACGAATTAAAATCAATAATTCGAAACAATCTTGTTAACGTGACAGAGGCTACAATTTTGAACCGATTTCTTTCCAACATTGGGTGAGGGATTGGACAATGCGAAGATGAACCTCATCGATATTCGGCCTTCCACTATCTCCTGTTCCGGAGTTACCCCCACTCCCCTCTCTGAACCTTGTTAACGCAATAGAGGCTATAATTTGTTGTGAAACATCGGGGACACGAGACGACGAAGCCTATCGATATACCCTTTTACCGTGAAAAATGCTATATATTTCTTCAAAATATGGTGGGTCATGAGAGGATGAACCCTATGGAAACTCAGCACTCCGCGAGCTGTTGTTTCGTAACCATAGTCAACACTCCCAAAATGCAAGAGGAATATAACTTCCCTTTAATGTTGTTCCATCCTCTACTTTGATCTAACCTCAATGTAAATAAATAAACAACTTTTTTTTTTTTTTGGGGGGGGGGGGGGTAAGTTTCAAGTTGCGTGAAGTTTGGACATTTGCTTTTAAACAATTTTTGAAATTATTATTTTATGTATAGCTAGAGACGAAGAAGAAGCTGTTATTACGAATTATCATGGAGTTGTTCAAGCATTTGCTATATTTGGATTCGTGGGAATCAATGTTGCCTTTCTCTTGGTTATTCTGATGATGTTTACGTCTAAATGTAAGAGAAATAGTGATGCTGGAATGGCGACTGTCATCATTTGCTTTTTTGCTGGTAAGAAACACATTAATTTGTCGGTACACTCATACTGACCGTTTCATCCCCGCATTTGGGTGTCTTGACAAGCCTTCAAATTATTTGACTTCAGCCCTATATTTGGATGTCTTAATAATTTATCTTTCAACCGAACCATTATCCTAAACTGGCATAATAATTGGTATTTTAAGAATGATTGTAACATGTAGATTAAAGATGCATTATGTAAGATATAACATATATATTAACGTGAAACATTACTGACTACCATACCATAATGTTGCAATTTGTAGTCTTCTGTTAAAACCTTTACTATCAGGCATTTTTGGTTAGAAATCAACAAAAGGTCTATTACACTCAAAGGTTACTTGGGATTTTCGGCGTGCTTTCCCTTCGTCAGTGGTGCAGGACAGAGAGCCCGACACGGACAGCTGTCAGTTTTATAATTATCGGTTTCCTGTTTTCGTAACATTGGCTATGAAAATAACATTGGATTGAAATGAAACAGGGTTTAACGTCAGTGACAAAGTGATTCATGGGTTATAACTTTTTATTAAAATTCTATAAATCAATTTAGTAACATTTAATAGATACCGAACACCACCACACGTTTTTGATAATAGCCTATATATTGACCACTACATACGCATGTATTGTGTTTAATTACCGACATAACGACCGCCACATCTGTGTGTTATATCATCAGATTGAAGATAGTATCAACGAAACAAGGCACGGGTCATCCTTGGTATCCTCAGTGATTTCGTTCCGTTATACTCATCTAACCCCTGGGTCCATTCACGATGGAGACACATAGTCAAATTATTGTGAGTGGGCGAAGGGAAGCAACTCGCATTTTGTTGCAACTGGAAGCATCCCACAATTAATTTCCCCATTGACTTCTATGTTAATTCTGGCCTCTTTGCCCACCTCCAACTTTTCCCCAAATTTTCGTTGGGCTGAATGCTTTTCACTGCAGACAAAGGAACAAATGGTCATGTCTTTGCACTAAACTAAAATTTGTATGAGGTCGACCACCAAAATTTTGACATACACAAACTTGTAGCCCTACATATCACCGTAACCAACCTGATTACCCTGTTATCCGTCCGCCTCAAAATCATGTATATTTACCAAAACCTGGCAGAAAATGTTAATTCAAACCCTCTTCATCCATTCCTGACCAAAAAATCAACAAAAATAGGCATGCAAAAGTGGAGAAAGAGACAGAGATGGTGAAATTTAATGGGGGCCTGCCTCCTATACGGTTTTATATAAGTTCATATATCATCAAAAATTCTTTTCGTTTTAGCTGCACATTTATTTTTGCAACATTATTATAATACAGAATCCAAAAAAAATAGTGACCCTTTAAAGTAATGTACTGTTGCAGCTCAATTCCATAGGCCTTTTCTTCTAGAATTTAAGATTCTTTCTTAATTTTATCAAAATGTGAGTCCTGCAAAAAGATTTAAGGAGCTTCAAACAAGTCAGATCAAAAATATTCAAAATATTGGAATATTTTTCAAAAATTGACTTTCTTTTACCTTTTTCTACAAAATGGTCAATTTTTTTACATTTTGTATGTATCAAAATGCCAATATTTGCCTATTTCTGGGAAGTCTGAGATGAAAGGCATTTATTTCTAGTAACCTTGGCCAGTATGCAAGAAAACAAGCTGCAAATTGGTTGCATTGAAGGTAACTGTAAGGAGCTATAATGAAACTTGTAAGACCACCCCATAAAAATGTCACTGTGGTAACAAATCCAACTTGTGTCCACATAAGTAATACTGTTGAAGGAATATGGTTAATAGCCATGTTCTTCTACCCCTGGCTTATATACATACATATAAACACGGGTACTTGTAAGAAGTATGAATCATTTATTAAAATATGGATTGATGAATGTAAAACAAAATGCTGTATTTAGGTGATTACCAACCACTCTAATAAAAGGGTCAAAAAGCACTCAATTTTTTCTCTAAAAAAATGGGAATATTTCTGTATTTAAAACCCTTATCAATCAGAGGTATCCTTGAAATGACATAGTGTAATCTTTACATCAATTTCCTGGCCAAATGCGGTGGGGAAAGAGAGTTATGACATAATTCACAGCATTAAAATAGTATGAAAAGGCTATTAATTAATATTTTATTACTCTGTCAGTGTATACTCTTCGCAGTGTTTCGTCTGATTAGAGCTAATCCCACTACTCACTGCTGTAAACAAAGCAAATTCTTGTTCTAAATTATCACTGGTCAATAGTCCGATTAACAACCAATATCAAACAGAGCTCCAAATTGGACCAAATAATATGTTTACATAACGTTACGTCATGACTCACGATTTTATTATTCCAAATTAACCAGTGCATAGCAGAATTTTGCAGAAAAACTAATTGTGTGACAAACAAGCCTATCAACTGTCAACACGATTTTTACTCTGTGAATATAATGTAAACAATATTGTTTTGAGACGAACAACACTTTCACCGTTTTTAATACCTTAAATCACTGTCCAAAGTTTTATAGAAGACCCCTGATTAAACGAAGGGCCGTCATGTTGCTGTGCTTTTGGATAGATTTGATTGAACGGGAAGAATATACACTGCCTCAAAAGCGCAAGTATCAGAAGCTAATCCAGCAATGGCCAGAGAGGGATTTCTCGGGCCATTGCTTCAGGAATATGTGTAAGTGCCACATATTAAAAGATCACCACAAATAATAGATTAACATCCAAAATGGGGTTTAACGTCCACTCGACACAACTAGGTCATTTTCGGACTAACACATGGTTCATTTTTATTGCAATAATTCGCTTGCGCGTAGGGGTCTTTAGCAGTGGGAGGAAACCGGAGGATCCGGAGAAAACCCACAAGGTTGGACAGGCGACCCTGCTTCTTGTCACGTACAACCGGGGAATCGAAACCACGCCAGTTGGCTCAATGCCAGACCTCATGATACAGCACGCACGTGCTAACCATTCGGCCATCCAACCCCCCTGTTACAATTCAAACACAAAATCCAATTACTGCTAATTTGGTTAAATTTAATGGTGGTCTGCCTCCAACTATGATCGCTGAAACGTTGTTTTAAACTTTGTAAAAATAATTTAGGACATCGTTCTGTTTGCATGTCACTTCTTTGCAACCCTTCCCATAATCGAGTGTGCAAACTGCTTTATTGGGGTGAACGTAAACAATGATGCTAAGACTGGTATGTAAACTGTTTTTTGATTGGTTCGTAGAATCATCCTCCGTGGCCAACCTCCGTGGCAGATAATTTGAATTCTTATAAATCCGTGAATGGATCCAGGGGTTCCTTCTTAGCGAGGTAGCGCCTTACTCACTGAGCCACTGCAACTCCCAAATAACATTTTATGTCGATTGTTATCATTTGGATATTTAACAAAACAATCATTTGATAAACTATTATATTTGAAAATAAAAGACTTTCTTCGTTTGTATTTCAGCTGTGTCTTACCTAATATCTGTCATCGTCTTTGCTGCCTGCTTTAACTATACGACTGTTGATGGAGTTAGAGTTGACGACCCCTTAAAGAGTACTGGATACTCACTTTATCTGGCTGTCATCGCTTTTGTACTGGCATTTGTTAGCGGGGCCCTTCTTATAGTTGATATAAAGAAAGGGGGTGCAACATCACCAGCTTAAAACATTTCTTGATTTTTTCTCATTTAAAGATGCATTATGTAAGATTCAGATGAGGAGCTGAGCAATGCATCCCATTCGTTTATGAATAAAATATTGTTTAAATCAAACCAAACCTTAGGGCTGTTTTGAGAAGAACGGAGTCTCGATTGTCATTGCTAAAGTTGTCACGATAGTAAACAAGGTCTCGATTATCCACTTTTTAATTAAATCATTAATCCGTTGAAAATCTCAATCATCCGATGGCATCCAAATTAATAAATGTCTAATTAATAATCTATATAACATTTGTAGCCAAAATAAACACCTGCAATAGGGAGATTTAGTTCTTGCTAGAGCTAGAATTGCCTATTGCTTTTCCTGGCTTCAGATTATTAATTAGACATTTATTAACTTGCCAAGACCATAAGCCAACTGTCTAGCTCATCGGATGACTTAGATATTGAATGGATTAGACGACACCTGTCATATTATGTGCATTAAAATGCATAACGCAACTCACGGAGAATGCAGATTAAAGACGTTCTACACACATTTCTATTCTTGAATATTAAAATTCTTATTTGAGTTAGAAGGAATACAAATTTAATACAAATTTGGGTTAAAAGTACTACAAATTTAAGTAGCTATTCTTAAGTTCGCCCAGAATAAAGTAATTTAACTAAACTACTATAGCAAGAACGATTAGCTCTTTCTCTAAATCTCGCATAATTCCTTTTAAAACTAATGCTAGGTTCCCACTGTCGTGTGATGCTTTACGATAGGATTCTCCCTGGTAGGATTACCACGATTACTCCACGATTAATACCACGATTTCAATCGTTGCGCGAATCGTGATCGCGGGAACCTAGCATAAGTATATATAAACTACTGTATAAATGTTACCAAACCTCAGTTCATGGCTCATAATCGTCTTGTTATTGGCATGGGATTTTTGCGTCTAACAACTAGTTAGTAATGCGAAAGCTGTACGAAATTTACTTAATTTTCATAAGATTGATTTGAAACCACAATACTAACATATAACCACGTATGTTTAATTATTTTTTATTATTAAAAATTATTATGAATTAACTACGATTAAATACTGCAGTTGGATGCCATGTGTAGAGTCACTGTTTTCCAAAGCTCCTATCGGAACGGTTTCTAGACAGACCATTCCAGGGGCGGATCCAAAGGTGTTTGCTGGGGTACATAAAAACCTTTATGAGAAAATTGTCACGGTCGTGTACTTTATCCTTTATCATCAGGTGATGTGTGTGGACATTTAAAGCGCGAGATACTGATATAGTCATATGTGATATCACAATTAATGCTTTGCATCAATGAAATTAAATCACAATGTGATTTATGATAAAAAAAAATTAACGGCAAACGGGGCATCGGATTTCTCTCTTTAAAAAGCTCAGTGTGTATGTATGCCTACGTAATTTGGAGACGATGATGGCATCATGCATTTGGAGTCATAATTGTGCAAAACTATAATTTAGGCTCTTGTCAAATTATATGTGCCTAGGCTTATTGCAAAAACAAAAATAAATAAATAAACGAATAGTTTATGTGATGAATTTTCTTGATATTTTGGTGTCTGACACAGTCGCGGTCGGTTTTTGTTTTTCTATATTGCTTCCTTAGAGTTTCCTGTCAAAATCGTGCAGATTTGATTTTATTGCATATCAGTAAAAGTAAAACGTAGAGTAGTAGGTATATGTATTTAGTATATTTTTATGTAATATCCCAGTTTCTGTGTTTTGTCAAAGTGGTCGCTGGTTACCCCAGATATATATGACGATACAGACCATGTATTTCACAAAAACTGTCAAGGCCGGGGGGGGGGGGGGGGCAACCCAAAAGATACATTGTCTCACGAACCTGGCAACCCCCACTTCTGTAAAAATTCCTGGATCCGCCTCTGCGTTCCTTTCCATTCTTTTTAAACTGCACCCCAGTTTGTCGAAAAAGTCGGTCTTAGGTTTGTGCCACTGAAAAGTCGGCCCAATGCAATTGTTATGGGACCGTGTCCATGTAACGCTCGCGTTTTTGAAAATCAGGCTTGAATGTAATGGGACCTTTTCCACGTAACCAGCGAAAACGGGTTCATGGCAAACGGACTGAAGTTTGAACATTCTACTTGAATTAGATGCCTACTGATTGTGTCCCAATGTCAAGACCCCAAAGGTGTGACGGACGGATAGACAGACGAACGTTTATTAAACCCCGCCCCCACCCAAAGCTTTTCTCGGCGCCAAATTTCTATTTTTCAGTATTGGACACATTCTACGGTAAGAACTCTTTTTCTTACGGATAACTCATATTTCGCCCCCCCCCCCCCAATACATTCGCTCATTTAAAACTCATATTGGGTGCTCTTTGGAAAGCTACCCAGGTTATCAGATAAATCTGTATTGGGTTTATTTACCAGCAAAAGCGATGTCGCTAAAATTTTATTGACCAATGGTTAAATATTGGTTGCTTAGGAATCGTTCCAAGGGGCACGGAAGGCCGGAGATATGAGATGATCAGATCAGAGAACAATCAAAACAAAAGCGATTTTCGTACAATAAAGGAACATAATCCAGAATGTGCCCGTATAAGAAAATTAACAAAATGTCGACTAATGTCAGGATCTAAGATAATGAAGCAAAAGTTGACCAACAAAATATAAAGATAATGTAGACGCAAGGGGGGGTAGCATATAGCTCCGGTACGAAAGGTCGTTTAATATCGATAGGGTTCATCCACTCCTGAACACGATATTACACACCAAATATGAAACGAATCCGTCAAAAACTATAGCAGTTACAGACGGGGGACCGACGGACAGGGTGACGACATAATATGCCCGCACTTAGCCGTGGGCATGTAAAACTACTTCTGTGTAGTCACGTGATAAATGTTTTATCGAAAGTAAGAATAGTGATCATGTGTGTAAATAGGTTAATATAATGTCAACTTTCATCTTATATATTAACAACCGTTTCCATCAGGGGGTTATCGCATACAGCATAATGATAGTGGCTATAAGTGGGTAGACATTGGCTCGCTAGCCTGGAGGTCGGGTGTTCGATCCCTGCATTGGCCGAGAAAGTTCATCCAGATTTTCCGGCGTTGTCCCCCCTTGTCAATGATGCAGGACGGAGGGCCTGGCAAGGACAGCTGTCTAGTCGTTTGGATAGGACGAAAAACGGAGGTCCCGTGTACACATTGGCGTGCACGTAAAAGATGCCTTGACAGCTGGAATTCGATATAAGAGTAGGCTGTAGTACCACCCGTCTTCATTAGCCCAGTTCGGAGCAGAACAGTAGGACGTTAAACCCCATTTCATTTCGAAGACATGAGACAGACATATGAATAAAAAAAACAGAATGAAAATAGAAAAAAAAAAAATAATAATAAAACAAAGCAATTGCAATAAATAATTTTATTTGGATAAATAAGGTTATTAAAAAAAGATTAGTGCCTAATATATTAAACCTTTAAAAAAATAAAATAGAATGGGTAAAATATCGCTAAACATCAAAAATATCAACAGAAAAAGGAACAGAATGAAAAAAATAAAATGAAAAAAAAAAATGAAAAAATTGAAAACTAAAACAAAACAACTGCAAATAATGTTATTAAACAAAGTTTAGTGCCGAACATACTAAACCTTTTAAAAAATGACATAGAATGCGGTAAAATATAGCTAAACATCAAAAATAATATTAATAAAAAAAACAGAATGAAAAGAATAAAATGAAAAAAAAACAACAACAAAAACAAAACAATTGCAATAAATAATTTTATTTGGACAAATAAGGTTATCAAAAAAAGATTAGGGCCTAATATATTAAACCTTTAAAAAATAACATAGAATGCGGTAAAATATCGCTAAACATCAAAAATGAAAACAAAACTTTGAGTACTCACTCGATCAATGTTTATTAAAAGCATGGACGGTATACATGTCCATGTTAAGAGTAAGAAAAATAATTGCGGCGTTTGGGTTTTATATGGCCCACTGGCAACGCAGACGTGATTGAAAACAACAATTACAATGACGCCATTGCCATTATTTCCGCTCCAAAATTCTTTAAATTGTGTTTCTTTTTTTATACTAAATCATAAACTACTAAATCAAATTTACATTGAGAAATATTATAGTTGACATTTTCTATTAAAAAATGGGGGAAAGTAATTATGTCTTTTGCTCCAAAATTCTTTAAATTGTGTTTCTTTTTTATACTAAATCATAAACTACTAAATCAAATTTACATTGAGAAATATTATAGTTGACATTTTCTATTAAAAAATGGGGGAAAGTAATTATGTCTTTTGCCACCTAGAAATGGACACAAAGTTAGTAAACAGATTCTGATCAGAATTCTTCAGTATATTATTTTAATGAAAAATGTATTCATTTACATAATACAGGTGGAGGGTTAATCAATAAAATAATGCATAAGTTTGGAGAATGAATAATCTATAAACAACGAGAGATTGTTTCCCATTAAGAGAAAGATCCATTTCTTAAGGCCAACTCAAGATTTCGTCAAGGTCGCTGAGATCTGAACAAGGTTAAGGCACGTGATTGTTGGTGAGATTGTAGGTTAGAGTTAGAGTTCGGGTTAGGGTTGATATTAGAGCTAGCCCTGTTTACATCGTGTGACTATTCGATCAATTAGCCATGCAGATGAAGGTTACTAATAAGCTATTTATTTACATATTGTAGTGAAGTGGATCTAAAATCCAAGTAAATATTAGGATACAATTCTAAAATAATAACCAGAACATGTGAATACGTAGCACGCGAATAAGAACAGTTCCACAGAACGATAACTTTCCATTTAAGTTATCGGCAAGTAACCTGGTGGTTTCTGGAAAAAATAAAACCCCAACCCTCCAACGATCACTCCCAGACAACTAGCTACAAGCTCAAGGGCAAAGGACCAGTTTAAAGGAACAATATCTGTATCGGCTTTTGCTCCATACACGATTACGCCTACTAATCCTAGTATACCTGTCATCACAGAGAAAAATATTTTGTGAAATATTGGTTATTCAATCTGATTACAGATGCATTATGTAAGAGCTAAATCTGCGTATTGCGGGTCTTTTTTCTGGTTTCAAATGTTATATAAACTATTACTTAGACATTTATTCAACATCGGATGGAGATTTTAACTGAACAGCGGCGCTACGGCCTATATCGAACTGCCAGGGGCTCTTTTACGTGCACGCCAATGTGCACATGGAACCTCGGTTTTTCGTCCATCCGAACGACTAGGCAGCTGCCCTTGACAGGCCCTCCGTCCTGCACCACGCCAGAAAATTCCGATGAACCCGCGACCTCCAGGCTAGCGAGCCAGTGTCTTACTCACTTAGTCACAGTAGCTCTTAAATGTCGTTTACTTAAAGTGGCATTATGGGAGATTAGATAAAGATCTGGCAGTTTGAGTCAAATTGCCTTACTCTGAACCGAGATATTAGCGATTGAATTTTACGTCTAGTCTCTAGGAAAGTGGTCATGGACGACAAGGCAGGTAGATTTAGAGGGAGATCATTTATGAATACTGAAAACAAAAGGGGACCAAGGATTGAACCTTGTGGTATTCCATATTCGATTGGCTTTAAGTCCGATAATAAACCATCAACATAAGTACGTTGCTTTCTTTCATGTAAGTAAGATGTCATACAATTGACAAGATTGGGCGAAAATTTATGCAAAGCAAGCTTATTCAAAAGAATACAATGATCAACTAGATCAAACTCTTTTCGATAGTCAAAACATATCATTCCACATATTTGGTTATTATTCAATGTATCATACATTTTCTCTGTTGTATGAGTACATGTAGTTTGAACGGAAACCTGATAGAAATTTAAATAACAGGAAATTACACATGTGTTTATATGTTTTTCTAAAGACTTTGATAGCACAGGGAGGATCGAAATTGGTATATAATTATTTGGTTCAATTTGCATCCTGATGTGAACAAAAGTATAACTTTGGTCTTCTTGAAAATGAGCGAAAATGCTTTATTTGACAGAAAAAGATTGTAAATGAAAGTTTAATGCGGAAATAAAAACGATGCACCGCACTTGCTTTAGACACATCC